ATTAATTTACGATTAAATTGCATAATCGATTACGATTAATTTATTAAATTACATTAGTTATTAATCGTTAAATTATTTTTAAACTAATCAGTAATCTTGATAATATTTTTGTATCGTTTGTCAATATTGCAAAAAATATTGCATAACTACAATATTATATTATTAGATAATATACTACATATACATAACTGTATATAATATATCAGTATCTAATTTTTTTATATTGATCATAAAATGTGGATAATATATTTTTCTCTAGCAATGAACTACAGCTAAATCATTAAAATGTAATATCTAAATATCATTTATATCCAAATCGGCATAGCTAACTTTGCTATAGGTATTAAGAACTTATTTTTTTGTACTGGTTCAGTTGTAAAATTAAATAAATTAAAATAAATGATAATCGTCAATTGTAATGATTTTTTTTCATTCTTGCTTTCTTTAATATGGCCCACCAAATTTTAAAGTTCTAAAAATGGTAAAAATTGGTCCTCTAGTTACTTTTAGTTGCCCATCACTAGTATATATTACAATAATTAAAGATTTACAAAACATCAACTATTTATACATTTTAGAGCTACTTATTACTTACCGATAAGCTTAATTTATATTTTTATGCTATGTTCCTAATACTCTTGCAGGTATTAAAAGCCAATATATTATTACTCGTTTAAAAATTTTATAATTTTTACATTATTTATTATTATACTTATATTGCCATTAATAAATTATAATTATTAAGGTTTCTAAATAATTTAATTATATTTATTATAAAAAAGTTATTATAATTATTATATTTACATTTAATTTATTATTAAAAAATGGTTTTTCCTAAGAATAATATGTTATTGTTAATGATTATTTTTAAAATATACTACAATAGTCAATAAATTGTAAATATTTAAAAATGTTATCTCAAAATATAGATACTATTCAGCTTAGAACCGTTATTCAAATATCATTAACCATTAAAATTAGTCATGATTATAAATTAACATATTTCGTAATCGTAATCGTAATCGTAACACTATGATTATATTATTATTTAAATAATTTAAAATAATTTGATTTTGTGATTGTTATTTACATTAGTTTATCTTACGATTAATAACTTTATATTATAATCGTTATCTTTTCAGATTACGATTTTCTCAACACTGGTTTGGTTAATATTATTTTGTTAATGAGATTAGGAATGATATATTTCCGTACCACACTAGATGCATGTTAATATTATATTCATTACATCTATTTAATTTTTCTATTCTCCATTTATTCACTATTATTGAGACAAAATTAACATAAAAAAATGTTTGGTACTATATAAATCATAAACCATGAATATTTTTAACCTAATAAACTAATTCAATTTTGGTTTTGTGCTTTTTGTTTACCTTCTTTTTTTTATTTTTAACTACATAATTGTATTTAAATATGTAGAATGAAATTTTTTATTATTATTTGATAACAATTGCAGAATTAATAAAACTTTTGGTTTATAGATTAACTCAAAACTAAAAATAAAAACTGAATGTCGAAAAAAAATGATAAAAAAAAATAAAAAATATTTATAGAAAATTTAAAGTTGTGTCACATTTCATATATTATGTATTCAAATAGAGGTATGTACCTATGTTAGAGTCATAATGTAGCATTATAACATAAGTGATATTTCTGTTCAGAATACGGTCATTGTATATATTGCTTTTGGCTTATTGAATGAATGACATGTTATTATTACAATTTGAACGTTATTCTAACTATAGAATTTTATAGTTTGTTTAAATGAATTATCAATGGTCTCGTTTTTTTTGTTATAACAATAATGGAAATTCTAAATATAAAGAATTCAAAAGATTTGTTCAGATAAATTTGTATGTCAGTTAACCTTTTCTGCTTTTTATATAACATACGAGCCGTGAATGGCCTATAAAAAGCATCATTTGACAACATCAAGAAATAGAGACCAAAAAAAATAAAATTAAAATATCGTTTTAAATGGGTGCTGATAACCTATAGGTTATCAGATTAACCTTTGTACATTTTTCGTATTTTCTGTATATTTTTAAAATATTTTGAGATTTACTTCATTTTATCACGGTACTTTTATAAAATATACTAAGATAATAAATCTAATAATAATTTTAGTATTTAATACGTTGACTGCCATACGGCTGCCGGCGGCCTCACAGTCGTTTATTTCTATAATGCAGTACGTATATTTCGGGTAACATTCGTAAAATGTACCGAGTGATATTATTAGAACCAATAAGCCTACAAATACAATTCCGATATCAATTGGTTTATTTTTCTTTGAAAATTTTTAATAAATTATAATAATAGTATGACCGCCGGCGGCCTCGTGGCGCTAACATAATTAATAGTTTATTAGACGCCGGCTAATGTTAAATTGTCACTATTATTAAGTTTTTTTATATTGTAAAAATGAATTCTCGATCAAAACGATTTAAAGTCTGTGACGAAAGTGTTGTGGGAATTTTTAGATGACATATATGACGACTTCAGTTCTTTTAGTGAAGTGAACTATATTGATAAAAGAATTACAACTTAGTGTAAGAAATGTGATGTGTATACGTGTGTGGATTGTTTTATGAAACATCATAAAAATGAAAAATAATTAAGCAAATAACAAACATTATTTAAATTAAAATTATTTTAAGTTTTAATTAATAAAATTTTTGACCGTTCACTTATGTCTCATATTTTTTTAACATTTTACATACAAATTAATTAATTATTAATGATTTACAAAAATTGTACTTTATTTATTTATTATAATTTACAATAAAAATTGATATTACTAGAACTATTATAGATTAAAGTGAAAATAAATTAAAAATAATTTGATTGAAAGAATATATTTGAATACAATACAGTTTTAATATTATTCTGATAAAACTAAACAAAAATATTGCAACCTTCGAAGATATAAGAGGTAACTGTATATAAGTAAGTAACTGGATACATTGTTTTATTGGTTTTTCCATTTAAAATTGGATGCCAACCAAAATATTACGTAACAAAATTGTTACCGAGATTAGTTGCACACGGTCTTTTTGACCGGTTACGGACTCTAAAAATAGCTATAAATTCGAAAAACAATAATTGACTGTTCTAAATAGTTTTAAAAAATAGGTTAACGTGTACATTAAAGGTAAAAAATGCACGAAATAATGTAAATTACTCACAGTGACTTATTAGTAAAATTATAAACTCACGGTCTAAAAGGACCATGATGCGACTCATGGCGGGTTAAGAATGCGTAAAAGACAAACAGATAGAAATCCATTTTTATATACACAGATATATAAATATATATATTATAATAATATATGTAGTAAGCCTGACGCGAAAAGGAGGCGCTCGAAAATGTTCCTTGTCCGAACGAAAATGTCTGACCGCCGTTTTCTCATGAGCAAGTTAGAAAATATCAAACACAAAATATTTAACAAAATTAAACTACTTAAGATATAAACGGACATGGTGGTGATTCATTATGTAAAAGGAAATACAATTTATTGTTTTTAGTATTAACATACTTATTTGTATAGGGGAAAAAATACCTATAATAAATTAGAAAATAAGTTAATTGTTCAGCATTATTTTTTTTTTTAAAGTATATAGGATGTAAAAAAGGTAATTTTTTACTATAGATCTAATATGATTTATAATCTAGATCTTTATGTCTGTAAGGTTTTGATATCAATCTGTACTCTTTTTCCTACATTTTTCCAATACAAATACTTAAATTTTATAATAAACTATTAGATCCCGGTTCTTAATTTGTTTTCGTAAAAAGTCAGTAAGATAATTTAAGTTTGACCAAAAAATCATGAAAATATAATAAAATTTCCTTATGTATACATAAATTAAATACGAATAACTTAGATTTGAATACAATTTTCTTCACAATTTATTTTAAAAGTAAAAGGAAAAATATTTGAATTTCACAAAAACATTTCGTAAGCTTAAGAAGTTTTAATTCTGACAATATCGAGTACTTTAACTACCAAAAATTAGGTACTTTAACAATTTTACTATATTAAATATTTTTTTATAAACCAAAAGAATGAAACAAATTAATCCATATATGTAGTTATACTTACTTTTTTTACTGCCATTTAAGTCTATAATTCAATCTTTGAAATGCAATACCGCATTAATAACCCTGAACGGATCGACTGCAGGTTTTCTTCCACCTATTTTTAATAATAAAGGTAATAAACTATTAAGACATTTAATAAAATTATATTTTTATTTCAAAATAATGTCCCAAAAAAGAAATCCAAATTAAATATTTTATATAAATACTATACTCTAATCACAGCTCATATGATAAACACAACATTGAAGTGCTAAATTACTGAAATTAACTGTTATTTATAAAATAAAGAAGTATATCATAAATACGAGTAAAATACATACTATCGGATATTTCTTAAGAAAATAAGAATAATTACTATTTTTATCCCATACCATTGTTATCTAACATATCGATGGTGTTTTGTTGAAAGGACGTACACCACATAATTGAAATTGTTCAGGAGGAACAAAATAGTGTTTTTAAAAATTATACCGTTAAGGTCGGTTGATCTTGGATATATCTTCATATAGTAGGCATGTTGATAATTTGATAACAATTATCATTCAAATGCTTAAACATATGTGAATTATATTTATTATCATTCAAAGGGTTTTAGGCCAAAATGGCGAAAAAAAAATAGCGAATTGAAAAATAGTGAAAGCAAAATAGCGAAATAAAAAAAAGCGAATTATACATTGTTACGAAAACCAAAACAGCGAAATATTATTTATTTATGTTATTTATATGTTATAGTTTATTTTATATTTAAGTTAATTGAAATGTTGCAAACAAATAAAAATAAAAGTTAAAAGAAAACTAAGATTATTTTTATTCACAGATTTTGTTTTGTCTTAATGTTATAAAAATATGTATTAAATAAAAATCACAATCCTTACATTTGTAAGCTCAAATTATATGCGATACCTTTCAAATAATTAATATTGTCATTAGTATTATAAGATGAAGTGATACTTCTAATTTTTTCTGAACAATTTTTATAGATTTTTTTTTGATTAAAACTTTTTGCTCCGGCAATGAATTGTTGGCGTTTAATTTCCGATAAATATTGCTGTTCCTTCAACACATCAATAAATCTCCATATGGTTGGATGATATGCCCCTTAAATAGTTCAAATCAGGTACATTATAAATTATATTGAATCCTAATATTAATTTAATAAATAATAGATTTTAAAATACTTACCAAGTAATGAACTGAATCCTTTATGCCAACCTTCTACTGCATTATTAGTCCTTGGTAATAAGGTATTCGCCGATTCGTAACAATTCCATAAACTAATTGAATATTTCGGTAATCTACGACCTTTTCTTCGACCCATTGGACGGCCTATCCAGGTGTCTTCAAAGTAGTCAATTAATGGTCGTAAAATGTTCTCATTATCGGTGTAGTATTGTGAGTCTATGAGTTCTTCGAACACATCTATCACATGATTTTCTGGTACATATGCTAATGCTAATAAGAGCCGTACCTGTAATGAAAATGTCGAATCTGATATATATTTTTGTGCCATATATTCAATTTGTTGTATTCTACGCCAAATGCATTGGGAAAAATGGAAGTGGCATCCTTTTTGTTTTAAATTTGGAAATACTTCTTTAAATGCATTAATAGATCCCATTTCAAAATCTGACATAATCGATTTTGGCGATAAAGTTGGTTTAATTTTTTTTAATTGATTAAGGAGGCTTACATATGTATTTTGTGATTTATTTGGTAACAAGGCGTAAACAGTAGGTGTCAACAAATGGGCTGTCAATACATGTATTGTATAAATTTGAGTGAAAAGTATCGGAGAGCTCTTAAATGTACCGTCGACAAACCAATTATTATATTTTATCATTAACTCTAAATTTTCTTTAGTAGAAAATATTAAAATACGATCATCTGATGAGCCGCTATCGTACTGCAGGAACTGTCTTCCATCTTTGGTTAAAGTATACTTTTCAGGTATTTCGAGATTAAAAAGTGACTTAGGATTCGGCGGTGCGCAGTTATTACGTTGGCGTACTCTTCGTAGAGTGTGTTTTAAATTAGATAACTCTGGTAACGCACCTGATATAAATGGATTAATTTGCGATGAAGCAATTATTTGCTGAGGGTTATCTTGTGACGATAGTGCTTGTGATTTCATTCTTTCGACTTCTTTTTTAACTTCTAATCTGCATATATCTGGAACGTGGTTATGCTCTGAAGGCTCTTTTTTAATTGTAGTATTATTTGTAGTTGTTAATCGACTTTTGCATTGCATATCTAAACATTTCCAATACTTTGACTCCTTGTATATTTTTTCTTCTCTATAAGTATAACTATTATACACGAGAAAATGTTTACCCTTATTAGATTTAATAAATTCCATTATTCAAAAATTAACTATAAAAAGAAAATACACTACACTACTACAATACACAACACTTTTATACTTTATGTCATCAAACGTCGAACCCAACTTAATGTTTTTTCTACATGTGTACTGTGTTCACTACATACAATAAAAACGATAGGGGATTGATTAGATAGTTATGATATTATTAATAATTACTTATTATATACCTCATTGACTGATATCTGATTTTATCGGTACAAGAATTGTTATAGTTATTTCCCAAACATTCGATTTATTTTCGATCGCTATAATTCAGTTTCGCTAAATTTTTTTTCGATATTTTGAATTCACTATTTTTCATTTCGCTGTTTTTTTTTCGCTATTTTGGCCAGACACCCATTCAAAGTGATAGTAGTCATGGTATGCGCCCTTTTATAGCATATATATTCAAACGCCCATACGTTAAAAATTTACACGTGTGGTATACGCTCTTTTAGCATTACAAATTTTTTGAAAGCCTCTGTACAACTTATAATATTCATTGTTTTATTATAACAATAATAGTCAACAATAATTATATAATAATATTATTATTTGTATATTAATTTATTTAAAATGGTTGGAAAGCAATCAAAACAAAATTATTTTTAATTTCTTTTACTAATAATATTATAAAAAACAATTAATATTGTTAATAGTTTTAAAAATAATTATAAAATATTATAATAATATAAAAACAAGAAATATAATAGTAATATAACCATGTCAAATTAAAAGTAGTAGTATACGCCCTTTTAAAATTCTCCGTTAAAATGTTTATATATTCTTTAGGACGTATGGATAACTTATATCCGCTACATAGAGAATAATTCTTAATATTTTTAACCATATCAATATTACAGATTATGTGCCTATTTTTTCTGAAAATTTTGATACCATAAACTCATTTTTCGATTTTTGTGGTATACGCCCTTTCAACAAAATGCCATCGATATAGATGTTTAAAATAGAAATAGTATGTTTGCAGTATGCCTTTGTATAAATACTAATAATAAAATTATGAATATAATGATATAAGAGATTTTAAGCATACAGAATTCTTCTAAAAATATTTTATATTTTGTTAATATAACACTTTGCTAATCAATAAAAGCGGTAAAGTGGTCGTTCAAATTCATACAAATTACGTACTAATTATTCGCAAAATAAATTTTTGTAAAATGTGTATTTTTACTGGTGGGTGGGGCTGGAATAACGTTATTCCTGCCCCTCTCGCGAAAAACGAATTTTTCTCGGTGAACAAGCTCCGTACAAATTTTGAAAACAGTCATACAAATTACGTAATAATTGAGAATTATTTAATCAATGATAATATATACCTATTTTTGAAATATAGATTTACTTTTCATGGTAATAATAATGTAATTTATGGGTAACATGGCTATTTTTACTTAATAGTTTGAAGACAGTTAAGTACTTTTCCCGAGACCAGTGAGACCCCAATTAATACCGAGATAAATATTATGGTTTCATCTAAAAATTCTTCGAAATTTTTATTTTTATATTTTTCCAAATTCCATGAACTTGTATCCAATGTGGTATTTTACAAAAATATTTTTCTGGTCTTGAAAACCAAAATTAACTTACAGTGGGTAAAAAAAGTCTCCGTACACTATTGATAGATTCTTAACAAATAATGATAATTTAAAAGTTCTATTACTTCATATTTTTAACAAACATTTAAATATAAATATTTTGTTTTTAGAAAAATAAAACATATATATTAATTATTTAATTATTAACAAGTATATTTATAAATAATATTAAGAAAATAACAGCAAAAAAGTCTCCGTACAAAATAATATTAATATTTTTAACTTAATACAATATCATAATTATTATCACTTTATCATAGTTAATGGTCAATTGGTCCTCCTTTAGCTGTAATTATTTCATGCATTCGCTTTTCCATTGATTCATTTAATTTTGTTGTAATAGCTGAGTCAACACTGTTCCATACTTCAAGTTTTGCATTTTTTTAATTGATTTTTGTTTCTAGTTTGATAATTTTTTAAGCGTCTACCTATTTCATCCCATAAATGTTCTATCGGATTCATGTCTGGTAATTGTGGAGGTGTGTTAATTTGCTTTGGCCCTCGGTATAACAACCATTCTTTAACTTTTTTCGCGGTATGTTTTGGGTCGTTATCTTGTTGAAAAATTAATGGATTGCCAATATTTATTTTTTCAACACTTGCATACAAGTTATTTCTCAAAATATTTAAGTATATATGTTGATCTATAATACCATCAATAAATACCAAACTACCAACACCAGCAGCGCTCATACAGCCCCAAACTTATACATTACCACCTCCATGTTTTACTGTGGGGCACAAATTGTTGCAATCCATCTGCTTCTCCATACCATATCTCGCCCATCCAAACCAAAAATATTAAACTTACTTTCATCACTAAATAATACGGATTTCCAAAAATCATTTCCCTTATTAATGTGTGTCTTCTCAAAATCTAAACGTTTCTTTTTATTTATTTAATTGATAAATGGTTTTTTTTCTTAGCTACGCAACCTTTATATCCTGCGTTTCTTATAACATTACGAATGATCTGTGGCACAACTTTTACATTAAAATCAGTATCAATCATACTAACCAGTTTGTGTGCACTGGCTTTTGGTTCCATCACAACTGTTCTCAGAATGGCCTTCTTTTGATATGTTTTTAATTTAAGGGGACGACCAGTACGTTTTCGATCTTCAAAAGAAACAATTTCATTATACCGGCTTATAATATATTGTACAGTCGAGTGCGATTTCTTTATTATTTGTGCAATAATTCTGAACGAATTACTATCTTCTCTTAGTTGAACTACCAATTTACGAATATCAATTGGTATTTTCATTGTTCAATGCTATAGAATGAAAAATATAGTACGAATACACAAGGTCGTATCTGGAAGGGGGTCCAGAGTGTCTGGACTAGGACTGCGCGATTATTTTTTTCCCCACAATAATCGAATATTAGTTAAATGTACGATTATAATCGATTAATCGAATAATCTGAGAGTATTACGATTTTTATCCGAAATAACGAATAATCGAACACTCGAATAATCGAATAATCGATTAATCATACTTATACTACACAATATATTAGTGTTCTAATAATAATAATTTACCATTAGTAATCAAATAAATAGTCTAGTTCAAACGATTTATTCATAAAAACATAAAATAAACTAATACAACAAATATGAACTGCCGTTTACCTAAAGGGTCAGTCTTAATCTTGAAGTTAAATTAAAATAAAATAATATTTAAAACACTGGTTTAGCTATATAGTCCTTATTCATAGTTAAAAATATAAGCTGACCGGCATGTTCGTTAGTTAACGATGATCTATGATCAGTTAATATAAATCCCCCTTTACTAAAAATACGTTCAGACGCTACGCTTGTAGCTTGAATGGTCATAACTTTTTTTTGCTGAAACGAACATAATAGGGTAAGTTGTCTTGTTTATGTTCCACCAATCTAGTGGATCTTGTTCAACGCCAATTTTTGGATTGTTAATGTATAAGTCCAATTCATTTTTTATTTTTTGGCTTAATGGAACTTCCTACAATGATAAAATTAAAAAAGTAGTAACAATAAAGTAAAATAATTTATCTTCAAATTCTTACTTGAAAATTATCCATATTATTTTCAGGAGTACCAAAAATTACAGACAACCCAGTTTTTGGTTTTTTTTGTGATGCCAGTTGATTAGAAATATTGTTGACGTAACTATCACTTTCGATACGCTCGTATGTTGTTTCACAAAATTCAGCGATGGTTTTCTTTAAAACCGATAAATCATTATACTTAATGTACTCGATTTTGAACCTAGGATCCAATACGGTACACATAATCAGTAATGCGTTATCTTGATAGCGTTGATCTAGAACCTCAATAATAGTTGTATACATGTTTTTAATTTGTCCTCCATTGATGTCCGTATCATCACTTTCATTTAGTTGTGTTATTTGAGATAATTTTGATTTAAGTGAAAAAATAACTGGTAGTATAGCCGAGCCCGTGACATATGAATCGCCAGCTAAATTATCAGTTATTTCCCGGATTGGCTGTATAATACAACTTAGGTTTTTTAACACGATAATGTCTGATTCTTGAAGAGCTAAATTTTTATATCCACCATTTTTATATGTTCGTAAGAAACTTGTGAGTCCAAGTTCTTGTTCAATAATAACATTAATTAATTCCAACATTGACCACCAACGCGTTTTTGAGTAAGATGGAAATTTTTTATTTGGTAAGCTAAATTT